GCACCCAGTACCCCCCCCACCCCGTCCTAATGTCTCCCTGAGCCCCCCAGTGCCACCTTAGGGTCCCAAATGCCTCCCAGTGTCACCCCCCATAGACACCCATAGCCCCCCCATACACCCTACAGCCCCCCCATACCTCCTTGGGGCTCCCACCTTGGCCTCACCCCGGGGGGGTCTCAGCTCTGTGCACAGATCGAGGGCCTGGAGCAGGAGAACCGGCGGCTGCAGGAGGGGGGAGCCCCAGGCCCCCCCCCCGATCCTCCCCAGCATGGGGCTGCTGGTGACAATGGAGCCCCTTTGGCACATACAGATGGTGAGGGGGCACTTGGGGGGGGTTTGGGGCTGCCCCCCGCCATAAGGAGTACTTGGAAGGGGGGTTGTGGGGCCCTATAGAGGGGTTATGGGGCTGACCCTCCCCTTGCAGCCCCCCTGAACCCCCCCAAGGAGCCACCACCGCCTGAAGAGGGGACTGGGACTGATGCTTCCCCCCCAGCACCCCAGGTACATTGGGGGAGGCTGTGGGGGTCTGTGGGGTTTATGGGGGTTCTGTTGCAGGACACACACCTCTCTGGGGGGGTCTCTTGCAGGAAGAGGTGGCCCAGCTGCAGGCAGAGGTGGCCGAGGTGAGTGCTGCAGCCCCCCAGGGAGTTTGTGGGGGTCCCGTAGGGATTGGGGGGGGTTCAGTGTCCCATAGGGATTGGTGGAAACTCTTTTGGGGGAGAGCTGAGGGGGCTGATTCCCCCCCAGCAGTGATTCTTGTATCCCCATTCCCAGCTGATGGAGAAGCTGCGGAAGCAAGAGAATAGGTGAGATCCTGGGATCCCATTGCTTGGGGGCACATCCCTGCTCCCCCCAGGCCCCCCTGCTTCCATTCCCTATTTCCCTCTCTTTTCCCTCCCAGTTCACTCCAGTTGGAAGCGGAGAAGGAGACATTGCTCAGGGATCAGCAGTGAGTGGATCTCAATGGGGGACCTATTTGGGGCGCTGGGACCCCCCCCAATGATTGGACCCCCCTTTTTGTCCCGCCCAGGCTGGAGCTGGAGAAGCTTCAGGCTCAAAGGGATGAGGAATTCCGGGAGCTCCAGACCCGGATCCAGCGGCTGCAGCAGGAGCTGGAGGCCGCAACCAAGGTGGGGGCGCCCAGTGGGTGCTGGGGGTGCTCCAGTGGCTGCCCTGTGGTATAGGGGGTCCTGGGGTGTGCAGAGGGGGTTCTGGACCAGCTCCATAGGGGATCTGTAGGATGTCTCCAGCCCTATATAATAGCTGGTGGTCCCAGGGCAGCCTGGAGCATCTTCCTACAGCCCCATACGGCTCTGGGCAGCTCTGCCAAGCCCTATAGGGCCCTACTGAGTGCTGTGTGGGGCGGCAGGAGGAGGTGGGGCTGCGGGAGCGAAGTGGAGCCCTGGCCCGGGAGCTGCAGGAGGCTCAGGCACAGCGTGATGCCCTCGACAGCGAACTCCAGGTAGGGCTGGGGGGGTTTGGGGTCCCTGTGGGAGATCTGGGGTCCCTGGGGGGTAGTTTGGGGTCTTTATGGCTTGGTTTGGAGCACACACTGGGTGCCCGTGCGTCCATGGCTGCACGTGTGTGTACATGTGTGTGTATGCGTGTACGTATGTATGTGTGCATATGTGTATGTGTAGATATGGATGCGAATATACAGAATGTATACGTAGGTGGAGCTATGCACACGAATATACATGTATCTATACATGGGTAGAGGTATATATGCAAGTGTACATGTATGCGTAAGTATATGCATATGTAGATGTGGACACGAATGCACACGTACGTATATGTATGTACACGAATGCACATGTACGTACACGTATGTACACGAATGCACACGTACGTATATGTATGTACACGAATGCACATGTACGTACACGTATGTACACACGTGTGCTGCAGGCATGTGCGGAGGAGCGGGAGGGGCTGCGGCAGCGCCTGAGCGAGGCTGAGGCTGCCTGGGGGGAGAGCGAGAGGCGGCGGCAGCAGATGCAGGTCAGGGCCCCCCCCCAGTGCCCCCCTGCTCCCTCTGCCCCCCCATTCCGGGTGCCCGTCCCGGCCCCACTGCTCTCTCCCCACAGGAGCAGCTCGAGCGGCGGGAGCAAGAGCAGGCAGCAGCCGAGCAGCACCGCGTTGAGCTGGAGGTGACAAGGGCTGTAGGGGATCCCCCAGAGGGGCTCTGGGTCCCCTTATAGAGCTGTGGGCACCCCTATATCACTACAGTGACCATGGGGTGCTGCAGAGATCATCAGGCTCCCTATGGCTCCAGAAGGTCCTTCGGGTTCTGTAGGGGACAGAGGGGTGTAGGGGGCTCCATGTGGCTGTCTCAAAGCTGGAGGTGCTGTTATGTGTTGTGTGTGGGGCAGGGTGGGTGTGTGATACCCTACTTGTATCAGTCGTAGGGTATTGTATGGCACCTAGAGGTCTAAGGGAGCACTATGGGGATGTTCCAGTGCCCCAACCCTCTCTGCTATGGCCCTATAGAGTTCTATAGAACCTATAGGTTTCACAGTGAGGCCCCCTCCATCCCCAGGGCCGTGTGGGGGAGCTGCAGGTGGCACTGGGGGATGCCGAGCGGCAGCGGGAGCTGCAGGAGGCCGAGGGCCAAGCGCTGCGCCAGGTACCCCTAAACCCTCCCCAGCCACCCCCAAACCCCCCCAGTGACCTTGCAGCACCCTTAACCGCTCTCTGGGCCCCCCTAACCCCCCCCCGACCCTCTTTATCCCCCCAGGAGCTGAAGGACGTCCGGGACGGGCAGCGCATTCTGGAGAAGAAGGGCAGCGCAGCGGTGAGGGACCCCCAAAGGGTGGGGGGCACCCAGAGCCCTGGCTCCTGCACTGGGCCCTGACCCCTCTGTGTCCTTCCCCTTGTCCCCAGCTGAAGGACCTGAAGCGGCAGCTGCAGCTGGAGCGGCGCCGCGCCGACCGCCTGCAGGAGCGGCTGCAGGAGCTGTTGGCACCCACCCGTGCCCGCTCCGGTCTGATGGGTGCTGGGTGCGGGGGGGGGGGGGGCTGTGGGTGGGTGGGGGGTCCTGGATGCCTGGAGCCCCCGTGCAGATGCTGTCCTGCATCCATAGGTTAGGGACTGCAATGGGGTGGGAGGTGATTTGGTGCAGGGGGGTCCATGGCTGAATGTAGAGGGAGGCTGACAAGTCTGGGGGTGGTGGGGGGTCTGCACCCCTGAGTGCTCTGGTGGCCCCAGAGCAGGAGTGGTGTGTGGGGGGGGATGTGGCCTCTCTGGACACCGCTGTTTCCTTTGTCCCCAGGGCTGGAGGACTTGGGGCTGGAGGGGGGGTCCCCGGGGCGGGGGCCGGGGGGGGACAGCAGCAGCCTGAGCTCCCTGGGCCGCGATGGCTCCGCCCCCGGTAGCACGAAGGTGGGCGGGGCCTGATGCTTGGGGGCGTGGCTTTGGAGGGTGTGTGGTGGTGGGGTGGGTGGGAATTGTGGGCGTGGCTTTAAGGGGGGTGTGGGCTTGGGGGTCTGGCTTCTGGAAGGGGGTGACCATTCGGGGGCGTGGCTTTGGAGGGGCGTGGCTTTAGGGGGTGCCTTTGCATGTGGTGGGTGGCTGACAGCGGGGTCTGTGGTTTTGGGAGGGGGGGGTCTCTGTGGCCTTGCCTTGGGTGCTGCCTCCCCAGAACACCCAACCCCCCCCACTGACCCCTTTTCCCTGCAGTCGGGCTCTGGCAGCCCTGGGGGGGGCAGCGGTGGAGGGGGGGTTCCCGGCGGGGGGGGCCTGTCCCCTGCGGAGGTGGCGGAGCTGTTCCAGCGCCTGGCCCAGAGCCAGCAGGAGCGCTGGCTGCTGGAGGAGAAGGTACTGGGGGCAGAAATGGGAGGGGCTGGGGGGGTACCGGGCAGGGGGTGTGAGTCATGGAGCCCTTCTCCCCCCCCAGGTCCGTCACCTGGAGGTGAGCAGCGCCTCCATGGCGGAGGATCTGTGCCGCAAGAGCGCCATCATCCAAAGCTTCGTGCGTGACAGCCGCCTGGGTGAGCCTTGGGATCTCTGTGTCCCCCTTCTGCTGCTCCCACCCTCTTCTGCTCCTATATCTCTATATATGTCCCTATCCCGCTATGCTCCCATCTCCCTATCTCACTATTCTGTTATCCCCATCTCTCTATCCCCTTGTATCCACATGTCCATACCCCTCTGTCTTCCCATCTCTGCATCCCTCTACACCTCTACTCCCTATCTCCCTGCACCCCATGTCCCTATCTCACTACACTCCCGTTCTCCTTTCATCCTATGTCCCTATCCCCTATGCTCTTATTTCCCTATCTCCCTACCCCCGTGTTCTCATCTCCCTATGCCCCCCATCCTTCTATCCCCCTGTAACCCCTTGTCCCCACCCCATCCCCACTTCCTCCTGGTCCTGCGGCTGAGCCTGCCTCCTGTGCCCCGCAGAGGCGGCAGGGCCCGCGGGGCCGGCCCGCCGGGGCGCGGGGCCGGGCGAGGAGGGGCTGCGGGAGATGAACAAGAAGCTGCAGAACATGCTGGAGGAGCAGCTCACCAAGAACCTGCACCTCGGGCAGGTGGGCGGGGCCGAGGCGCGGAGGGGGCGTGGCTTGGGAAAGGGCTGTGGCCTCTGACTCCGCCCCCCCGCAGGACCTGGAGGCGCTGTCGCAGGAGCTGGCCCGGCTCAGAAAGGAGCGGGCGGCCGCCCCCGGGCCCCCCTGAGGACCCGGGCCCCTGCTGCAGGCTTCGCCCCGAGCCATCCCCCCCCCGTGGGCGCGGGCCGGCCGTCGGGGGCGCTGTCGCTTTACCGGGACGTAGCCCCTTTAAGGAGGTGTGGCACAGCCGGTGGCGTTGCCGTTTTAAGGGGACGGGGGCCCGCATGCGTCCCCCCCTCTTCCCCCCCGTCAATAAACCCGCTTCAGCCGCTGCTTCTTGCGTCATCGCCTTTGTGGGGTGTACGTGGGGTGGTGCATGTCGCGCCCCGCCTCCTATGACGTCACGAGTGCGCGCTGACCCGGATGTTGTTGCCGCCGCGGCCGCAGGATGGGGACGATCGTGCCGCTGCTCCGGATCGTCCCCGCGCCGGGCACCGAGCGGCGCGCTGCGTGACGTCAGCACGGTGATGTAACAACCCCCTTTTCCCTCCAATCCCACCCTCACGCGCGCTGTCCGGTAGCGGCGCGACCCTTCCCCCCCCACCCCCGCCTTCCCCGGTTCCGGTCCTGCGTCTGCGCGGAGCCGTGTCCCGAACCCCCTCCCCCCCCTCCCGCAATGGCGGCTCCGGGGGGCGGGGCCGCGCTGGAGGAGGAGTGCGAAGTGGTGCGCGTGCGCGTCAAGGTGAGGGGCGTGGCCTCATGCGGGTGGGCAGAGCCAATTCACAGGGGCGTGGCCTCGGGGAGGGGGCGAGTCGTCGCGTGGCGGGCGGAGCCACCTCACGTGGGCGTGGCCAACTGGGGGCGGGCCAATGAGAGGGGGTGCTTTGAGGCGCTGTTGCCGTGGGAACGAGAAGCGGCCACCGTGGTGGGCCCGCTCAGGGCCGGCTTTTTGGGGGTTCTTCGGGGCTCGTCCCCGGTGCCCCCCCGGTTACTGCCGCCCCGCCGCAGAAGAGCGAGGGGCTGCAGCCACCCGAGTTCCGCTCCTTCGCCGTGGACCCGCAGATCACATCCCTGGACGTGCTGCAGCACATCCTAGCCCGTGCATTCGACCTGCAGGGGTGAGCCTGGCTCCTCCCCTCCGCTGCTGCCTGAGCCCCGGGGGTTGATCTAGTCACTGAACACGCCTCGGGTTCCCCCCCGCTGCAGGAAGAAGAGCTTCTCCATCAGCTTCGCCGCTCGGGACCCGCAGGGCCAGGAGAGCTTCGTGCCGCTGCTGAGCGATGGGGACCTGGCGGCTGCCTTTGCCTGTGCCCGGCCTGCTCTGCGCCTGCGCCTCGATGTGCGGCCCCCAGCCGAGAGTGAGGGGGGAGCATCTGGGGGGGAGTCAGACAGCCTGGCCCCCAGTGAGGCCCCCATCTCTCTATTCCACTGCACTCCCATCTCTGTGCTCCTCTCCCACTATTCCCCCATGTTCCTATCCCCCTAGACTTCTATCTTCCTGTGCCCGCTAATGCCCCCATTCCCTTTTTCTCCTGTTTCCCCTCTCCTGAAGGGGAACATCCACAGGGGATGTCCACGGGTGGGTGTCAGGAGGGCGACCCTGGTGCCTGGGTGCCCAATGGAATGACCCCAGCCTGTGGGTGCTGCAGGCCCGCTGCTCGAGGACTGGGACATCATCAGCCCGCGGGAGGTGGCAGCAGTGGAGCCGCTCCCTGAGCGCCGCTCGCTGCTGGCTGCAGCTCTGCCCTTCACCCAGGCCCTGCTGGCACAGGTAAGTGGAGTTTGGGGTGTCCCTCCCTCCTCCCAGTGCTCCCAGTCCCCTCCCCATGTTCCCAGTCCTGTCCTGGCTCCATCCCGGATGCATTCCCCACAGGTTGGCCGGACGCTGGCCCGGGCGCAGGCTGCCCTGGCATGGCCTGAGGGGTCCCCCCCCTCACCCCCGCTGCCGCCTCCCCCCTGCGCCCCACTGAGCGATGCCGACCTCCGCACATACCTGGGCCCTGGCGGGCGGCTGCTGCGGCCCCATGACCTGCGGCTCCATGTCTACCATGGTGGTGTCGAGCCTGGCCTGCGCAAGGTGTGTGCTCCCCATGTTCCCCCCCCCCCCCCCGTGATGTGGGTCAGACCCAGCTGGGAGCTCAGCCCTTTCTGGGTTGCTCCCCCCTGTTTCTGTATGGGGCACGAGGTGCTGTGCAGGTCGTGTCTCTGCTCCTTCCTCTCTTTTGAAGGGTCTTCCAAGGGTCCTGGGGAGGGACATTCGCCAGGGGCTGCACCAGTAGAGCAAAGGGGGGATGCGTTCAAACTGGAACAGGGGAAGTTCAGGATGGGTCTAAGGAAGGGACAGTAGAATGGGTTGTCCAAAGAGAAAGATGATCCGTCCGTGCAGCATGTACAAGCCCAGCTTGGATGGGGTTTATGCACCACCCTCTCGATGTGTCCCTGCCCATCCAACCACCTCATTCAACCCTTCCCCACCCACCCCACCGCACCGCACCCTGACCCCGTGCCCGTCCTGCTGCAGGTGGTGTGGCGCTACCTGCTCAATGTCTTCCCGCCGGGGCTCTCGGGGCAGGAGCGCTTGGCTCACCTGCGCCGCAAGGCCGGGGAGTACGCGGCGCTGAAGGAGGTGCTGGCGGCACGGGCGGCCCCTGCCGAGCTGACGCTGGTGGCGGCCGCCGTGCGCAAGGACGTGGTGCGCACCGACCGCGGGCACCCCTACTTCGGCGGCCCCGAGGAGGGGCACCCGCACTTGGCTGCGCTGCAGGCGCTGCTCACCACCTTCGCGCTGGGCCACCCGCGCCTCTCCTACTGCCAGGGCATGTCGGACGTGGCGGCGCCGCTCTTGGCCGTGCTGGATGATGAAGCTCAAGCTTTCCTCTGCTTCTGCTCCCTCATGCGCCGCCTTGGACCCCGCTTCCGTCCTGGCGGCCGGGGCCTGGCCCGTGCCTTCGCCCACCTCCGGCGCCTCCTGCGCCGTGCAGATCCCCCATTCTGGGCCTTCCTGGCTGCCCGTGGCGCCCACGACCTCCTCTTTTGCTATCGCTGGCTCCTGCTGGAGCTCAAGCGTGAGTTTGCCTTCGAGGATGCCCTCAGGGTGCTGGAGATCACTTGGAGCTCACTGCCACCTGCCCCACCGCCCCCCCCCGATGGCATTCCCCTCCTTGGAGCCCCCCTGGGCCCTCGCCGGGCTCGCCAGGGGCTGCAGGAGCGGCGTGGGCTGAGGCCACGGCCCCCCCGGCGCCTCCGCCGGCAGCGGCAGCGCATGGGGGCTGCTGTGGATGGGCAGGAGGGCTCCAATGATGGCTCCAAGGTCTCCGTGGGTGGCCCAGAGGCTCCCAAGAGGTTTGGGGATGAGCAAGAGATGCCAAAGAGCTCCAGGAGTGCCCCAGAGGGGCTTGGGAGCTCCAGGGTTATCGAGAGCTGTGGGGATGAGCAAGAGGGGCTCCAGAGCTCCAACATCATTAAGGATGGTTCTGGGGGCAGCTGTGAGAAGCTTGAGGTCTTTGGGGGTGGCCAAGCTTGTCCTGACCAAAAGGGCTGGGAGATCTCCCAGGATGCCTATGGCAGTAACAAGGGCCTTGGGGAGGTCCAGGGTGATGCCAATGCCCCCAGGGGTCTCCAAGAGCATCCCACAGCCTCCAGTGATGTTGGCCAAGGTGCTGGCGGCCTCAGGGACACGGGAGAAGCCCAAGAGCCAGGTGCCTCCAAGCAGACTCACGGAGCTCACCGTGTCTCCAAGAAGCCACATGGGGATCGGGATGCCCTGGAGAAGTCCGTCGATGACCACAGTGCTTCCAAGGCGATCGGGGGACACCCCTATGTGCCCAAAGACATCAGAGGAGACCCTGAGCTCCTCCATGTGCTAGGGGACACCCTCAAGGAGGTCAGTGGCAACTACTCCTGCTCCCTTGGACAGGGTGGTGAAGATCCCACAGAGGTTGATAGAGACCCCAAAGAGGGTGCAGACCCCACAGAAGTACTTAAAGACCCCAGTGAGTTTGATGGAGAGCCCAAAGAGGTTGGTAAAGGCCCAAATGAGGTTGATGGGGACCCCAGAGAGGTTGGTGTAGAGGTACATGAGGATGCCATAGAGTTATGTGAAGCCCCCATAGAAGTACAGGAGGACCCCATAGAGTTGCATGAGGCCCCCAGTGCAGGCAGCACCCCTGCTGAGGACCCCTGGGGAGGCGCTTGGCCTTGGGAAGCCTCAAGTTCCTCTTCCTCTTCCTCCTCCTCTTCCTCCTCCGAGGACGAGGTCGGGGTGGAGGACGACGGGGCCCCGCTGCCGCCGCCGGAAGAGCTGGGCCAGGGGAACCCCTTCCTGCTCTTCCTGTGCCTGGCCATGCTGCTGGAGCAGCGGGAGGCGGTGATGGCGCGCGCGGGCGACTACAACGAGGTGGCGATGCACTTCGACCGCCTGGTGCGGCGGCACCACCTGCCCCGCGTCCTGCACCGCGCCAAGGGGCTCTTCGCGCGCTACCTGGAGGGCTGGGGGGGGGCGCCCCCGGGGGGGCACGGCACGGGGTAAATGGAGGGGGGGAGGGATGGGGGGGTTCAAAAGGGGAATGGGGGGGATGGGGGAGTGATGGGTGGGGGTTGTTGGGCGTCATGGGGAGCTATAGGGCAACATGGGGACCCATAGGATAATGTGGGGGCACCGTGGGGAGCCCTAGGTCAGTATGGGGACCCATAGGGCAGGGTGGGGACTCCCTGGACAGCACATGGGGACCCATAGGGTAATGTGGGGGCACCATGGGGAGCCCTAGGTCAGTATGGGGACCCATAGGGCAAGGTGGGGACTCCCTGGACAGCACATGGGGACCCATAGGATAATGTGGGGGCACCGTGGGGAGCCCTAGGTCAGTATGCGGACCCATAGGGCAAGGTGGGGATCCCATGGACAGCACATGGGGACCTGTTGGTCCTCTTTGGGGACCCACAGACCACTGTGGGGACTCCCAGGTCAACATGGGGAACTGTAGGCCCATATGAAGGACAAGTGGACTATAAAGAACAAATGGACCCCTTGGAAGCACCCCAGTATGGACCAGTATGAACCACTACACCCCATCTAGGAAATCCTGCATCTACATTGCCTTGGGCCAGACCAGTATGGACCATCACGGACCAGGACGGGTCTGGGTTGGACCAGTACAACTCCATCAACTGGAATCACTGGTTTGACATTGCCTTCAGCACTCCCAATATGGACCAGCAAGGACCAGCATGGCAGCCCAGTGGGAGTTGTTCACCTGTGTGGCCTTGTGTCCTCCCACTGTGGAACAGTATGGACCGGTGGGGCACACTGACTGGGATCTAATGCACATACAGCTTCTTCCAGTATGGACCATTGCAGCCCAGTTCCTGCCACCTGCCCCGGGTTCCTTTTACCCCCTCCTTATTTATTGCCCCTCCCCCCCGGGGGGGTATTTCGGCATCTGGGGTCTGTGGGATGCTGGAGACGTCAATAAACCTGATGCCTGTTACCGGTGTTTGGGGTTCCCAGTATGGGCTGGGAAGCGGTAGTGGTCTCTGTTGTGGTGTGGTAAGAGGGGTGGGATCTAGGGAGTGTTCCCATGTTTTAGTCCCATCACTGCCTGCATTGGCTGAGGCTGTTCTCAGTTCCCCTCCCATCACCTCCCATTGCCTCCCAGTGCCCTCCAGTTCTCCCCCCACCCCGGAGGTGACGTCTTGGCCACCTCAGGCCTTTGGGTGTTTCCGGGCGGAAGAGGCCTCCGCAGGGACCCAGGCACGGGGGGGGTCCCAGGCACCAGGGTGTCCCAGCGCACCCAGGGATGAGCCGGGGGGGGCCCCCGGGGGGGGGCCACGTCCCCTCAGTGCTGCTGCAGCCCCAGGAGAACCTGCGGCTCTTTGAGTCCCTGGGCAGGAAATGTGTGGTGAGGGGGGGGAAGGGCAATGGGGGTTCCCATGGGGCCCGTAAGGCATTTAGGGGCCTCCTTGGGGGTCTCATTGGGATAAATGGGGGTCTGGAAGAAGCTGCAGGGGGCCTAAAGGGGTGGGGGGTCCCATGGCAGCATTTGGCAGGGGGGTTTGGTGGCCCTATGGAGGGGTTTGGGGAGGCAAAGGGTGGTTTTGGGGGCTCTCTGGGGCTCTATGGGTGTCTCGTGGCTCTATGGGTTTCTCTGGGAGCTCTGTGGTTCTCCCTGGGGCCCTACAGGGTTCTCTATGGGTCTCTAACATGCTCTACATGTCTCTAATGGAGCTCTCTGGGGCTCTCCGGGTGCTCTCTGGGTGCTCTCTGGGTGCTCTATAGGGGTCTCTATGGGTCTCTAAGGTGCTCTACGTGTCTCTATGGGAGCTCTCTGATGCTCTCTGGGTGCTCTGTAGGGGTCTCTATGGATCTCTATGGGTCTTTATAGGGGTCTCTATGGGTCTCTAAGGTGCTCTACGTGTCTATGGGAGCTCTGATGCTCTCTGGGTGCTCTGTAGGGGTCTCTATGGATCTCTGTGGGTCTTTATAGGGGTCTCTATGGGTCTCTAAGGTGCTCTACGTGTCTTGGGGTTGTGTTTGGGTGCTCTGTAGGGGTCTCTATGGATCTCTGTGGGTCTTTATAGGGGTTTTGGGTTTGGTGTTGTGTCTATGGGAGCTCTCTGATGCTCTCTGGGTGCTCTGTAGGGGTCTCTATGAATCTCCATGGGGCTCTATAGGGGTCTCTATGGGTCTCTAAGGTGCTCTACGTGTCTATGGGAGCTCTCTGATGCTCTCTAGGTGCTCTATAGGGCTCTCTATTGATCTCTGTGGGGCTCTATGGGGCACTATGGGGTCACGCTGTCCCCGCAGGCACTGGTGACGGCGGTGGCGCAGCTCGTGGTGGCCCAGCCGGGGGAAGCGGGGGGCGGTGCGGGGGGGGCCTGGGCCCGGCGGGGCTGTGGCGCCATTTGCCTGGTGCGGGACGGCGCCCGGCGCTCCTACTTCATCCGGCTCTACGAGCTGGCTGTGAGTGCAGGGGCCGGGGCGGGCAGGGGGGGCTCCATGGGGCTCTATGGGAGTTTCCCATAGGGGTCCCTGCAGGATTCCTCGGGGTCAATGGGGGTGGTCGTGCGGAGGGGTCTCTCAAGGGGGTTTCTCATAGGGGTCACTGGGAGGTTGTCTCTGGATCTCTCAGGGGATCCTGGGAGGGGTCCCGGGGGGGGGCTCTGTGGGGTGTCTCTCATAGGGGTCTCTGGGGGGGGACCTGGGGGGGGGCTCTGTGGGGTTTCAGTGGGGTCCCGGGGAGGGGCTCTGTGGGGTGTCTCTCATAGGGGTCTCTGGGGGGAGTCCTGGGGTGCGGCTCTGGGGGGTCCCAGGGGAGTCCCGGGGGTGGGGGGGCTCTGTGGGGTGTCTCTCATAGGGGTCTCTGGGGGGGGACCCGGGGGTCTCCGGGGTCTCTAGGGGTGGTCTCTGATGGGTCTCTGATAAGGGGCTGTGAGGGGGGCTCTGTCGCAGGCGGGGGCTCTGCGCTGGGAGCAAGAGCTGCAGGGGGGGATGTGCTACAGGGCTCGTACCCCGTTCTTCCACACCTTCGCCTCCTACGTGAGTGGGCGGGGCCACGGGGAAGGGGCGGAGCCAAAGGGAGGGGAAGCTCCGGGGCCTCTGGGTTTTGGAGGCGGTGTGGGCGGGGCTTCGGGGTGGGTGGAGCCAAATGCATGTGGGAGGGGCTACGTGGGTTAGGCTAGACAGCGGGTGGGGCCGAGGGGCGGGGCTTGTCACATATGGGCTTGAGCAAGGGCTGGGGATTGCTACGCGTGGGTACGAACAAAGGGGAAGGGATTATGACATGTGGGCGGGGCTAAAGGGGTGGGGTGGGGCTTATGGCCTGTTGGGGGGCTCGCTGCCTGTGGGCAGGGCCCATGGGGCAGCGCCTTGATTGGCTGCACAGGAGGGCCAGGCGGGGCTGAACTTCGCTGACGAGGGGGAGGCGGCCACCTTTGAGGCCCTGGTCCAGGAGCGGCTGCGCCGACGCCAGCAGCGGGCGGGTGAGAGCAGCCCCGTGGACCCCCCCCAGGGCCCCCAGTGCACTGGGGCCGCCCTCCGCTCCCACCCTCTCCTGTCTCTCCCCAGAGAAGCGGCAGCTCCCGCCTCTGCCACCCCCCGGTGATGGTGACTCCCCCTGCATTGAGGGAGGCAGAACTGGAGGTCACAATGGGTCCTGTGGGGTGCGGCACCAACAGCCACCTGTCCCCCCCACAAAGGATCCTGGGAGCCTGTCTCGCACCCACATGGCCCATGGTCATGGCAGCAGTGAGTGTCTGCTTCACAGCAGCATCTTCCAGCCCCACAGCAGGGTCTTGCTGCCCTACAGAGAGTTACTCAGATGTATCATGTCCTTTGCAGCCCCTCTACTGCCAGCGGTGCCCATCAGCAATCCTGACATCACGGCATCCCGCTACCGGGGGCTGCCCAGCCCCACAGATGGACCCACAGCGAGCACCACAGCTGGGGACCAGAAGAAAAGCCGCAAGAAGATCTCCAAGGCTGACATCAGTGCCCCGTCTGGCTTCAGGTGGGTCTGGCAATGGGAACGTGAGGGACTGTATAGGGCAGAGGAGAGACCTCACTGTGGGCCCAGTTGTGGGAAAACATCTGCTCCTCCTCCATCATCCCAGGCACGTCGGGCACATCGGTTGGGACCCCAGGAATGGCTTTGATGTAGGTGTCTCCCGTGCCTGCTCTGCCCCCAGCTGCCATCAGGCACTGCTGTGGGGCTGACACGAGCTGTGGGACGCAGGTAGCGGCTCTGGACCCTGCTCTCTGGGCACTCTTCACCCAGGCTGGCATCACTGAGGTGCAATTGGCTGACGCCGAGACCTCCCGCCTCATCCATGACTTCATCACGGAACGGGGTGGGCTGCAGGCAGTGCGGGAGGAGCTGCAGCACCAGGGTCAGCCCCCCTCCTCCCGTGCTCATTAACATGCTGATTATAACACCCTAATTAACATCTCTCCCACCCCCAACAGGTCCCCCTCTCCCACCCAGCCGAGGGGCTAACCCTATCCCTAACCCACCCCCCGGTCCATCCCGCAGCCGCACGGGGCCGCTGCCCCCGCGGCCAGGGGGCGCCCTGCCACTGCCCCGCAGTGGCCCGGCCCTTCCCGCGGTGGCCCCGCCCTCCCGGCCTGTGGCTCCGCCCCCTGGACATGGCCCCGCCCCCCCGGGGACCACCCCTGCTCCGTCTCCTCCTCCCCCGCCCCCTCTGCCAGGGGCCTCCGGTGGAGGCCCTGTACCCCCCTCGGGGCGGGGGGCACTGCTGGACCAGATCCGCCAAGGGGTGACACTGAACAAGGTCAGTGTAGAGGGGTTTGGGTTGTCCCATGAGTCCCCGGGCCTAGGGGGAGGACAAGGGGCATGCAATGAGCCCCTGGGGCTAGGGGGATTTGGTGGGGTTTATGTGCCCCGATGGATCCACCTTACTCCCCTCAGACCCCTGAGTGCCCCGAGAGCAGCAGCGGCGGTGCCAGCACTGGGGGGCTGGTGGGGGCTCTCATGGACGTGATGCAGAAACGCAGCAGAGCCATCCACTCCTCGGGTGAGCTCTCGTGGGGGGGGACGACATGTACCCCACAGCCCCTGTGCTCCCTCCTTGACACCCCACCTGACCCCCCACAATCCTGCAGATGAGGGTGAAGAACTTGAGGAGGAGGATGAAGAAGACGAGTGGGACGAATGAGCACCTCGAGCCCCACCAGGCACAGACTGAAACCCACCCTGAAGGACACATTTCCCCAGCCTCAATTTGGCAGGAGGCCACAATTAAAGGCATTGTTAATCACCGCTAATGAGCGTTAGTTATTGTCATTGAAGGGATGTGTGGGTGTGGGAAGAAGTGGAATGCCCATGCAAGGAATGTGCAAGAAGTATGCAATGGGTGTGCAATGAGTGTGTGCCATGGTTTAAACCCAGCTGACAACCCAGAGCAATGCTGCAGCATGCTCACTCTGCCCCTTCCTCTCAACCCCTCTAGGTGGTTGCTACGGTGGTCACTCGAGGCTGGCCAGCAGCACAGTGAGCAGAGCACGAACGTCTGGCCTCTGCTCGCAGAGCCGAAGAGCCACGAGGGAAATCTGGTGCTGGGAATGTTCAGCACACAGTCAGCTTTGCAACGGTGCCACCAGCATTGCTGTCGCTCCTCGATTTCATACCTAAAGTCTTTGAATGGAACATATCCCCTGGTAGATCGCAGGTCGACGGCCCGAGCATGCGCAGTAGCTCCTGGCTCTAACCCTAACCCTAACCCTAACCCGGAACCGGAGCTCTGCGCCTCGGGGCGGAGTGAAGAGGGGCTGCCCCGGTGCCCCGCCCCGAGGGGTGGGGCTAAGAAGGGGCGTCTCCGTGCGCAACGGGGGGCGGAGCCCCGCGTGAAAGGGGATGGCCCCCACGTAAAAAGAGGGGGAGAGGCGGGAGAGGAAAATGTTTTTTGTGTCAGCAGGGTCAAAGGTCAAAGGTCAGGGACCGAGGAGGAGAGGTCAGGGTCAACCTAGCCCTAACCCTAAGTACCCATCGCCTAACCCTAAAGTGGGCGTGGTCGACCCCAAATGTGGGCGGGACTACCCTCACGTGGCAGGGCCAAACCTAAAGTGGGCAGGGAGACCCCTAAACTGGGGAGTCCTAACCCTAAACTGGCTGGCTCAGAGTAAGGGTTAGGGTAAACCTAACTGGGCGCTCCTAACCCTAACTAGGCAGGGCCAACCCTGTTGGTCATTACCTCCCCCACGCCAGCCATCGATGCCCACCACTTCTCTATCTCTACTTACCCTTCTTAATACTATGTTCGCCTTGACCAAATCTATTGCAGAATAGGGTGCTGGGCTTCTGCTGCACCCCAGAACCTAGGGTACAATAGAGAGAATTAACCATGGTACCTGCACAAAGTGAGTGACCCTCACAACCACTGTTGTTACCTCCCTGCCTCACGTCCAACACTCACCTGACGCCAGAGATAGAAGGTAGGACCTGCAGTGACCAACACGAGTAGTGAACCCTTCGACGTGTTATTCTCTGAGTCACCCCTCAGGCAGACAATCCTTTTACCTTCTCACAGCCCTCCTCAGTCGGCAGCTTCACCTCTCCTGAGTTACCTGTGGCACCTAAAACCAAAACTGAAACAGGCAGACATTGAGAGAAAAATAGAAGCTGCAGCTCCCTGAAAGAAGCTGTTTCTTGGGTATCCCAAGCATGGCTCACCTTAGCTGAGTCATCTGAATGTTCTTTTTCAGCTGGAGACTGAGGGTGACTGTGTCAGGGAGGCTCATCCAAGGAGTGTGAACCAGAAATTCTGTGTTAGAATCAGTATGAGATTTATGTGGATGTATGAGCCAACCAGTGTCAGATTGAGCCTAAGTGAGTGTGAGGCCAAGTCTGAGCCAGAGAGTGTCTGTGCAATTTAAATGGAGCATGAGTCTGAGCCAGAGCCAGTCTGGGTGAGAGGGGGCCTGCGTGGTCTCTGAGGCTTGAATGGGAGTCTGAGCCACAGAGAAAAAGCCAAAAATTAAAGCTGGGAAGCAGCCAATGATCCAGAGCCACGTTAAGTAAGACTCAGCTGTGGATTGTCAGGGTTCTTTTATCCCAGCTGGGAGTTTGCCCCACCCCTGACCCACAGCACTGAGGGAAGGGTTATGGGTGACACCCTCACTCCATAACAGTCAAGCTGTAGCTGCCCTACCCATGTAAGCTCATGCTGCAAAATAGCCCCTGCCTTTCCCTCAGCCCCATGCTATACTTCAAACCCCTTCCTGCCATCCTGATCTTGTCCCCCACCCTCCAGTCCCAAGCAGCAGTCCTTCTGCTTACCTTCTATACTGCCATGGATCTCAAACTGATCCTGGGATCTTGCCACAGCTGCCAAGTTCCTCTTTATCACCTGCAAGGAACAAAAGAACCAACATGAGCACCCTGTGCTGGCCATCATCATCACCACCATCATCATCATCATCATCATCACCACCCCACCCACCAATGCTGGCCTGTTCTGTAATAGCCCTCTTTCTCTTCCAAAGCTCCCAACCTTGGCTAAACCACCTGAATGTCTTTATTTAGTTAGAAAGGGAGAGCGAGTCTGAGCCAAGAACTCTGTGTTAGTCTCAGTGTGAGACTTGTGTGGATGAGTGAGGCAGTCAAAGCCAGGTTGAACCCAAGTGTGAGCTAGAGCACCTGTGCAGCTTAAACATATGAGTCTGAACCACTCTGTGTGGAAATAAGCTCCTGTGAATCCGAGACCCAGAATCTGAGATTAAAAAAACCCTACACAGTCAGAAACTAAACATAATTCTCAGCCTGACTTCATAAAACTAGCTATGCAGTCTGTGAGCTTTGAATGGAAACCTAAAGGACAAAAAAGAAACCAAACATTTAAAAACCAGAGATAAGGCAATAAAGCAAAATCCAACCAAAACCAACCCAGCTGTCCCTTGTCAGGCTGCTTTTACCCCAGGTAGTGATTGCCCCCAGCCCTGGGCCAGGGCATCGAGGGAGGGGCTGTGGGTAGGGCCTGGGATATATAAGGCACAGCTTCCAAGCAGTGGGCTTCTTTTGGGCTCGGCTTGGATGAAGGTAAGATGTGTGGGGTGTTTTGGGGTTTTTATGCTTTGTCTTTTATTTTTTGCTTTGTTTTTTTGAGTTCTTTGGAATGCTTTTTCCTGAACTAAAATTTTTAAGTTTTGTTAATACTTATGTGGTCGTGTGCCATTCAACTTTTTTTGTGCTGTGGATTTATTTAGGGTGCTGTGGTTTTGAGTGCTTTTGAGCTTAGCAGACTTCTTTGGATGTTCTCAGGCATAGAAAATATGGCCAAAGTTGGTTTTGGTTTTTGTTTTTCTTTATTTACTTTTTTTTTTTGCATATAATGGTTATGGTAGTGGCTACTGAACCAACATACCAGTTAGATGGAGGAGGTAATGGGTCATAACCAACGTATTACTCAGTCTTTGGAGAAATTTGATTGAATCTTAATTAGTGATCTTGGAGAATTTAGTTCACATAGTTTTAAAATGGTTTTGCTGTGTCCTTTGGCCAGCTGCAGTTGAGCACTTACATGGCAAAGCAGGGCTATTCTGTCCCTGTAATGATTTTGTTAAAACTGAAGGGCTTGCTTGTGCATCTTCCCTTCCCCCTTGCCAAAGTGATGGCTTGGATATTCCGTATGGCGTACTGCTTCTTATCGTAGTTGTCTGTCTTTAATGTTCATCTCCAGTGAACCTAGCATCTGTCAAATGCATTGTGGTTTTGTAGTGTTAAACTTCTCCAAAAGCTCATAGTTTTGGGAGCTGGGTCTCCCCTACCAAAGTTTACGATACCAAACCAAGTGAACTTTAATGAAACTCTGGTTGTTTTTTTTTTAGCTGCTTTATATTAATTCACGAATAGTTTTTATTGCAGTCCAGTGCTAGCAGTGTTCGGTTTGAGATGCGTATTAGTGTTTTGCGTCTGTAAGAATGTCTTGTAGTTCTAGGGGAAAAAAGTATTAACCTAGAAGTTTTTTGTGTTTCTAATGGTAGAGGTTGATGTACTATATACTCCTTCCTGTTAAAATTCAGCTGTACTCAATCAGTAGGCACTGTGATAATATTGCCAGAGAAATCAGTTCTTAGTTGAACGATGAATAAAGGACAAAAAAAAAAAACAAACAACCCCAAACCGAAAAAAACATGTTTCTAACCAATCTGATAATTTTTATTCTTGCTCTGAATAACCAGATCTGCATGCTGAGACTGTGAAACAAGCTGGACTGTTTAATGCCCAGTCTTATCAATGCGGTAATGTTGCAGTACTTTGAGATTAAAACATGGTGTAACTGATAGGTGAAAATTATAACGATGCTGCCTTGACTTGATTTAAAAACTTGAGAGAATGGAAAATTTTATGAAGTCAGACATAGCACGTGCTTGTCTGCATTCTTCCCTATGTTGGGAAACCTTGCCTGTAAAAACAAAGAAAATGGATGAATGGAGCCCTGAACCAAACCTCATCCACCCCTGAAGCAGGGGAGGATGGCATAAGCAGTGAGGCAGAAGGGAAAGAGGGGTTCTATATTCCAAGCATTAACCAGTAAATTTTAGATCTAGCTGCATATTTCCCAAAATAGCTATCATGGTTGAAATTCTCCTTCAAGAAATTGTTGTGTCAGACAGGTAGGAGGAAGTTGTAATTAGTGTATTATGAACCCCCTACTCATATTTAATAATATGTCTGGATAACAGCTGGATTTCAAACAAGTAGCCAGTATTTCTGTTGGAGAGTACTTACATGCTGCTCCCAGGATTATAAATGCTTTGCTTCTTGCTGAATTGCAGTGATAAATTCTTCTTTCTTTTAATTTTTTTCCCAGTTAATTTACTTTTTTCAGAAGAAAAGCCTCAAATATGTTTCAACTAAAAGCTCTTTTCCTTCTTTTAAATATAGATGCATGTGAACAGCAATCTGGTGCAAAGCAAACTTGAAGGTTTTTATGAGTTTTAAGACCTTTGATTAGTTACTAAGTGCAACTGAGGAGAGTTGCACTTACTGGAGAGTCTTTATTTTTGTATTGTTTTGAACGGGGTGCAGAAGGTAGTAGATTACCGCATGATTGTAGCATTCTGTACTATTATACTTGTGTCTGCAGTGATTTTTTTTTTTTATCCAGACAAAATCAGAGTAGACTTAAATTGCAGTAGCTAAAAAAGAATTGAAGAATACAGTTATTATTTAAACTAAAAATTGTGAAACTGGTACCTTAAAGTCCAGAAACCCACCTAGTTATTTAAGGTTGG